AATGGAGTTACTCCAGTTTCAAACCATTGTGACCCCGTTCACATTCAGTGGAGTTACTCCAGTTTCACACCAGCATAACTGAGATGACGAGTCGGCCCCCAGACCGTACATTTGTTTTGTAATCAGGCGTTATATCTAGACTCCTCCGTACTGGCAGACAGGACACAGAAATAAATAACCAGGGAACCTTCCTGGGTTTCAGAATCAGAAACCAATGAAATTCGCAGGGGGAGTGTGAAACAAAGAAAGCCATTTGGCTGATTGCGGCAGGTCCGAGGGGGGAGCTGAGCCAAGGGGTGAAGAATAACCTCCTGGTCTCTAGTGCTCCCAGCAGGAAGATTGTCTTGGCAATCAGCCCCGGTATCGATTTCTTTTGCCCCCTCTCGCCCAGCCTCAGGCGGTAGCTCTCCGTACGTTAGCCAGGCACATGGTTTCTTTTTTCTTGCGTTGGACGCTGAGTTGCCGGGCTGTCCCGTTTAGTACCAGCTTCCCCCATATACGTCTTCCAGCTGTTCATACAAAGGGCATCCTGTATGAAAAAAATATGCAATACCTGTTTTGTCTGTATCGATAGCTCCGTTAGCTGAGGCTCTCCGTGACTGATCCAACCCCGGCGGGGCAGTGGGAGGGATTGGCTGGGTTTTGTGGCGTGGGACGGTGGAGGTGGGATTTTGTGTGGTTTTTCCTTTTCTTTTTTAATTGACCAAAGTTAATGAGCACGGCGGCAGAATCTCCCTCCTTCCACAGCAAGCTCTTGGTGGGTGGGACGGAGACACACGTACGTTCTGGTGTGGTGGGGGGGGGGCGGGATTCGTCATTGGTATTAGCACCGTGTTTCCTTTGAGAAGGGCAGATGGTTCTGAAGGTGGGAGGGGGCTGGGATCCTAGAGCTCAGCTGTGAAGCCGGGGCCAGGCCCACACCCTCCGGTTTGGCCCCCTGACCTCAGAATCAAGGGCAGCTGGGGGATTGTTTCTATCTTCCCGGTGATTTTATTTTTAAATCACATTGATTTACCTCCTGGAGAGGAGACTCCACTGGCTCCTGCTGTGCTGAGCCTCCTGCCGCACACCCGGAGAGCTCAGCAGCCACTCTGGGCTCGCTGGCTCCCGGGGTGGTGCGTCATTGGTGCTGGCTGGAGAGGATGTAATCGGGGCAGTCCCTAGGGATGGACATGCCAGGCTCTCGGGAGACCCCCGCCCTGCATCCTTCCCAGTGTGATGGCAGCGGAGGGGCGTTTTCAGGGAGATGCGACGCGCTGGGCTGGCAAGGACGCGCTGCGTTTCCAGGGGGCTTGGAGCAGGCAGCAGTGAAGAGAAAGGGAGAGCAAGGGGTGCGAGCATCCAGATCGGAGACAAAACCTGTGTGAATGCTGGGCGGGCTGTTCCAGAGGAACCCAAGGGCCGTTGCCTCTCCAGGCTCTGCTGGGACAGTGCCCGCGGCTGGCCAGGCCACCCCCTCGTGTCCCTGTGACGGCGACAACCCGGGGTTCTTCTGGAACCAGGAGCAGCCCACAGGCTGTGGAGCCGCCACTTGCCTCTCTCACCCCACTGAGCCCAGCTCAAAGAGACCCCTCCCCAGCCAGGGCAGGATTCACACTCCCTGGGCGCGGCCCCCCGGACATCACCCCCCTTTAAATGTATAAACGTCAGTTCTCTGGAGGAGACTCGACAGGGCCAGGCCACGTGGGGCTGAGTCGGCAAAGGGGCAGTGGAGAGATCCGAGTGTCACATGCCCTCTCCAGTCCGGTCCGGGCTCCCCCAGGCCCTGGCACTTGCCGTGAGCAGTGGCTGCTCCGTAGCGCCTCAGCCTGGTTTGGAAGGCAGGAAGAAGAAAATTAAAGTAACTTTTTTTGGTAAAAACCCTACAACAAATGGTTCCCGTGCCCCGGGCTGGTGGGGCCGTTCCAGCCAGCGGCCATCCCGCACGTCAGAAACCAGC